ACGAGCTGGCATCCAGTATCTAAAGCCTCGCAATGACATGCAGTTTGTTTTTGTCGAAAAAAACTTAGACGGTCAATTTTATTTTTTGGAGAAAATCAATTGACCAATTCGGTGAAATAGTCCGTAGATTAATTGATAGTAGTAATAATAGTCGTTAGTGGCAGCCCTAGCATGTAGCAATATAGCCTATCAAAGTGAGATCAAAGACAAAACTAGATATTAGCTAATTAATATAGAGTCTTGCCACCAACTGGTAGAGCACCTGCGGAGTTCTGATCTGTGAAAATGACGGCCGACCTTCAGATTTTTCTGACATTCTTAAAAATATTCCGTCAATAAAGGCAAATATTCGGTTAACGTGACCTCAGGCTGTATGAGCAGCCAGCGTGGGGCTCACATGAAGTGTGGTGACGTGTACAGCGACACAGAGACACTTAGGGACGTCTTGGCTTTGCACATCCCTAGGACTCGCTTGCGAAGAGGGCCAGACGATATCTGACAAACCCAAGGACATTGTGTCAGAACCTTCTCTGTCTTTTCCAGAAATGTCAGCATCTGGTATTACAATGAAACATTTTCCCTAATTCTCAGATCTCTGCATCGACACCTGTTACTGTTAAAGGACCTGTCCTTTTTTTTTGGTTTTTATATGTATTCATCTTTGTATGTATATAATTAGCCTTAAGACATAATACATCCTAGGTCGGACATTTTCTGACAGCAGGCACTATGGTGTCTGTCTGCTCTGATGAGTCTGGTCTCTGCACAGGAGATCGTTTGGCCCGTCTGTCGCGGGTCATCCTGCCACTGACTGTCACATGGTGCCCCCTGCAAGCATTCTTTAATATTTTCCTCTCTATAATGAGGCTCTAGGAGGCCCCCATCACCATGGCTTACGGCTGAATCCTGCTCCGCCCATCAGCCAGCCTTCCAAGTGGTGAAAATGGTGTACTGCACCTCGAGGTACGTGGCAAATTGTCACTCCACGGGCAGTAAGCAGAAATGCAAGGCAACAGGCTGGGTGCCTGCACATTCTCTTCATTCCATGTTGACATTGTTGAGTACACTTTATTCTGTTGCAATGTAAACACTGCAAAATGTATATGTAATTTAATAATGGATCACCACACACTCTTCTCAGGTGTCTTGGGGACTGTGTTCTTAAAGATGGCCTTGAATTGACAGTTGAAATCATGGTTATACCATCTGCAGATTGGTTCCCTTAATGTAAGAATTACACACTCAAACGCACACACATTTATTTGTTTGTTTGTTTACTTGTTTGCTTCCTAATAACTTATTAATTGACCATATTGGGTGATATATAACATGGCTGAGGTCTGTCTGTCCATCTGGGGTGATATATGACATGACTGCGGTCTGTCTGTCCATACGGGGTGATATATGACATGGCTGAGGTCTGTCTGTCCATCTGGGGTGATATATGACATGACTGCGGTCTGTCTGTCCATACGGGGTGATAT